GATTACTTTGGCCTGCAGTTTATGGATGCTAATCATGTGAAGCACTGGCTAGACCCCACCAAGCCCATCAAGAAGCAAGTGAAAAGTGAGTGCGCAACGATTTTTGCACCTGCGCTTTGTTTTTAATGTTTTATTTAAATTATAGTTGGACCACCGTACACATTTCGTTTGAAGGTCAAGTTCTACTCTTCGGAGCCGAATACGTTGCGCGAGGAGCTAACGCGTTATTTGTTCTTCTTGCAACTGAAACAAGACTTGCTAGAGGGGCGTCTAGACTGTCCGGATGACAAATCTGCTGAGCTCTGCGCGCTGGCCTTGCAGTGTACGTGATTCCCACTGAGTTGGCAATTGTAAAAGAATATAAAGTTATATACAATGTACGCTCAAAAAGTTGAATGGCCACCTTTGCTGTGACCTTTGTAGACGCAAAGGTTGGGCTAGATCAGCAACGGGTTAATGGGTTGCTTGTGCGCATTTTTTATAACTGTGTATTCTTTAATTTTGTATGAAAATAACACTCAGTCTTGCATCCACAGCGGAGTTGGGCGACTTCGATGATCAGGTGCATTCGGCAGCTACCGTCTCGGAGTTTCGTTTTGTGCCGGAACAAACGGAGGATCTGGAAATCGCCATATTGGAAGAGTATAAGACATGCCGTGGTCTAACGCCGGCGCAAGCGGAAACGGCTTTTCTGAACAAGGCCAAGTGGTTGGATATGTACGGCGTGGATATGCATACAGTGCTGGGCAAAGATAGTTGCGAGTATCATCTGGGCCTAACGCCTACTGGCATTCTGGTGTTTGAGCGTGATCAAAAGATTGGCCTCTTCTTCTGGCCCAAGATAAGCAAATTGGATTTTAAGAAGAAGAAACTTACGCTGATTGTTATTGAAGACGATGACGAGGGTCGCGAGCAGGAACACACCTTCGTTTTTCGACTGTACAATGAGAAGGCCTGCAAGCATCTGTGGAAGTGCGCCGTGGAGCATCACACATTCTTCCGTCTGCGAGCACCTGTCAAGGGACCGTCGGCTCGTCAAAACTTCTTCCGCATGGGTTCGCGCTTCCGTTACTCTGGCCGCACTGAATTCCAGACCACGCAGCAGAGCCGGGCCCGGCGCACCGTGCAATTTGAGCGTCGGCCCTCGCAGAGATTCGCCAGTCGCCAGTCGCATTTGTTGCGCGAGCGTCAGAAGGCTTCGCAGGAATCGGCAGCCTCTGCCGTTGCCACGGTCAATGCACGTGCAGCTGCCGCTGCAGCTGCAGCAGCCGCAGCTCAAGTGTCGTCAGCGTCATCTGTTGTTCCTTCCGTTTCCAGCAATGAGAACAATAACGAAACATTCGATTCGCTCATCTCCGCCGATCCGTTTATTACCGTTACCCCCTCACCCTCCGTGCTGACTGTTATACAAAATTCGGCCATTATTGAGCCGGACGCGGCGTGCAGTGCTTCCATTAGCTCTTCCACTCAAGCAGCTGCCACCTGCCCCTCACTGGGTCGCAATTCCCTCAAATCCAACTTTAGCAATGATGATCCGGCCTACAGTAAAATTGGATCCATTGGCAAGGCGGCGGGTCTTTCAGTGAAGTATGCAAATTAAGTTGCTTAAAGTTGCCAAGCGTACTTATGCTTGTTTTATTTTCTTAGGTTGGAGCCGGAGTACACGCCACCCTACTCACCGAATGCCACCAAGAACTTTGACGAGACGAATCCATTTAGAAGTGCGGCCACATCGCATCATGGCAGCTTTGGCAAGGCCTCAATTAGCTCAGGCCAGCTCAGGTGTGTGCCGGAATTGTCTATTGCCTTGCCATGCCACTTGTATTGCTTCTCTATTTTCTTTTGACTAATACGCATTGTTTTGTATTTCTCACGCATTTTTGTGTTATGTTCTGTATTCTGTGTATATCATTGTGCAGTGTTAGGAGCGGCTTATCGGATAAAGATAGAGAGCTAGATTCATTACTTAAGTCCATTGTTAAAGATCCATCCCCATCAGTGCTTGCAAATGAAGCCATTAATGATGCTAACAGTATCAGGTAGCGTAAATAATATACATAAATTATCATAAGTTAAACATTTGTAATTTATAATATTAAATTTGCATATCTCTGTGCTTCTAGGGTAACCATTAACAAGACCTTTGACATGGATCATAATACGGAGACTTTGAAGCGGCTCTCAAATACAAATGAGAAGCCCAACAATCAAGTGAAGATGGCCAATGTGGGCGCCACTTCCCTTCCACCGGGCAATATCAAGTGCAATATACTAAAAGGTAAGGTTGAATGTGCACTTTTTATTGGATTATTTCTGAAAATTGGTTTGTTTTCGTAGCGCGCGTGGAGGAAGAGATGGGCGCTAGCAGCGGCAATGCTAAGCTGACCAATCAAATGTTTGTGCCCGCCGCCCACTCCGGCAACAGCAGCAGCAACATGCACGCGAACAATAATAACATCAGCAGCAGCAATCATTCACACAGCGATGGACCGGATTCCCTGAATGCCACCTACATATCAGTGGTGAGTTGGATAGCAAACCAGTTAGCCCCATGCCTTGCACTTTTTCATGCTTTTTCTGTAAATTTATTTTTTTTTTTGTTTTATTTACATTCGTTGTGTGCACTTTGTGTTTTGTGTATGTGTTTGTCTGTGCGCGTGCTGTTGTGTGGTTGTTTTCGATGTGTTTAATGTTTGCTTGGCTTTGTAAACGCTTAAAACACACAAAATAAAAACAGGGCGGCGATAAGCTGACGCTCAGCATACCGGAACAGAAGCCGAGCAGTGGCAACGGCAGTGGCAGCAGCAGCTCGAGCACCATCAATAGCCATGCTAATGCCCGGGCCAGCAGCAACTCACCCTCACCCTTCAGCAATGCCACCTTTGTATCTGCCTTCAGTGGGCCACCAACGCCGCCTTCATCGCTGCCAGCGACAATAAACAATACCAACAGCAGCAGCATGGCCACCAGTGTGACAAGCATTAACACGCCGACCAGTACAGCTGCCGGCGTTAATGCTACTGCCAGCAGTAGCGGCAGCAGCAGCACTGCCACGGAACTGGCCGGTGCTACCAGTGGGACTGGCAGCTCCTTGCTGAGCAATGCCTCGGCAGCCGAAATACTCATTAATGAAATTTTCATTAACAATATCATAAACAATAATGCGACGGCCAGTAACGGCGGCAACAACAAATCAGAGACAAAAACAAAATCCTCAACCACATCAACGCCCAGCGCTGGCACGCTGCTCTTTTCCACGCTCAGCGAACAGGAGCGCTTGGAGGCGCAGAAGGCGAATCAGCAGCCCAACCAGAGCGAAGTCGATGCGCCGCAAATCGAAAAGGTTTGGCCCAAACAGAGTTGGGAAACAGCATCTGTTCTTTAAATAGCCTTGCAAACTAACATTTGTTTTCATTTCAATATGCACCTACTATTAACCATGTCTATAACAAATTTTCTTTATGTATTATATACAATTCTAAAACTCTTAATTATCCACAGAAGCAAAGCAGCAATCTGCAGGACAACAATCGCATTCCAGCCACTAGCAACAGGGATATGGTCTCACCCTGGCTGGTCTCCTCGGAAATTGTTTCAGCGCCCAAGGGACGGGAGCCGACCATAATACGCAAATCCGTTATTACAACACAGTTGTAATTATTGTTTAAATTTAAAACTTTTTTATTTGATAAGACTATTTATATACATAAGAATATAGCTATGACAACCTTAGACAACATTCTTTTAAGCATTCCACATGGCAGCAACATTAAAGACAATGAGAGAGCAGGTCCAATCAAAATGTAAACATAAAACTATATCGAAACTGAATATGTTATCTGTCCATTAAATGTGCCTTAAATTATATTAACTACATGTACGTTATGTGTACTCGTCAGCGTGAAAAGTGTGCTTAACGAAACAGTGTACTTAAATCTTACATAATGTATTCAATTAAATAATAAGTGTATAGACTGGATTTTTAACCAAGCAAAGTGATGTCTTTCTGCTTAATATACAACGCTCTATATTATAGCTAAGAAAATGTGACAAATGAATATATATTTTTTAAAATTGCAGTATTCCAATTAACAGAGAATGAAAAAAAAAGTCAAAAAACAAAAATTAAACAAAATGAACAACGATATTGTCGCAGATTTTAAATTGAATTTTTTATATTTATATTGTTGCATTCAATTTTAAATCTGGAGTCAAGCTCATGCCGGCTAAATGACAGCTAACTGAACAACTACTCATATACAAACATATACATATATACTATATATCAATTGTTAAGTGCAAAGCGAGCATTTCCAATTTTTGTATACAACTTTAAAAAAACAAATGCATTTCTATAATTAAATGTAAAATAAAAGTGCATATATGGAAATAATTTTTGGGCTTGTTTTTTCAATTAGGCGGCCCATTCCAGGAAGAGTCACCAGCTGCCATATGACCTGCTATGTTCAAGTACACACGCACACACATGTGTGTACTTGAAATTCCAAGATATTTTCGCAGCAGCCGAGGGTCGCATTGCGGCACTGCAATTAGAAGACAGCCGGCAGGCACTGTTTAGTGTTTAATGTTGTTTCCAAAAGTCGTCGACGCCAAATGTCTGCACTGGTGTGTGGTCATGTATGAATTTTATTTTCAAGAAAAACATTTTGTTGTATGCCTCGCATCGTGTTGTTATTTTCATAGAATGTTATTTTTAGCCTTCTCGACTAGGGGGGGAAATATGTATGTAGCTGCATCTGTTGCGAGTTCTTGGCTGAAATATGAACATTTTTGGAAAGCAACGCGAATATACTTATTTACATGCCTGGTGTATAGATAGGTACACCTATGGCCAGAGTGTGTGTGCGTGCAATGTGCACTTGCTGGGCGTCAGCTACACCTTAGCATTAGGTGGGGGTGGGTCTGCGAAATTACCGTAATTTCCTGCGTGGGCTAAAAATAATAAGTACTAAGCAAATTCAAAAAAGGAAATCGGCAAATACTTTAAAATGGATGCTATTTATTTGTAAGACTGTAAAATTTCGATTGTTTGTTTTTGTTTTTTTTTTATATGTTGTTTGTTTTTTCTCAATTTCTCCATTCGTCATCTGCGACACTTCCAATAAATATTAATATAAATATAATACATTCCATTGCTGTCTGATTGGTCGATAAATGGCTTCTATGTCCGTCTGGTTGGCAGGGCAGCAAGAGGTTTTGACTTAAAATTAATCATTATTAAGCTCTAGGCGCCAGGTCAGCGACGCCAGTTGTTTGTTGTGTGTGTGTGTGTGCGTTTGCTGTGTGCATGTGTGTGCTTAGAAGCACTTGCGGTGGACAATGCCTGGGCCGGATTCGTCGTACTCCTGCTTGGAGATCCACATCTGCTGGAAGGTGGAGAGGGAGGCCAAAATGGAGCCACCGATCCAGACGGAGTATTTGCGCTCAGGTGGTGCAATGATCTTAATCTTGATGGTGGATGGCGCCAGGGCAGTGATTTCCTTTTGCATACGATCGGCAATACCTGGATACATGGTGGTGCCACCGGACATGACAATGTTGGCATACAGATCCTTACGGATATCCACGTCGCACTTCATGATCGAGTTGTAGACGGTCTCATGAATGCCGCAGGATTCCATGCCCAAGAACGAGGGCTGGAACAGGGACTCTGGGCAACGGAAGCGCTCATTGCCAATGGTAATGACCTGACCATCAGGCAACTCATAGGACTTCTCCAGCGATGTGGACGCAGCAGCGGTGGCCATTTCCTGCTCAAAGTCCAGGGCAACATAGCACAGCTTCTCCTTGATGTCGCGCACAATTTCACGCTCAGCGGTGGTGGTGAACGAGTAGCCACGCTCGGTCAAGATCTTCATCAGATAGTCGGTCAAATCGCGACCAGCCAAATCCAGACGCAGTATGGCATGGGGCAGGGCATAACCTTCATAGATGGGCACGGTGTGGGAAACACCATCGCCGGAGTCAAGCACAATACCGGTGGTACGACCGGAGGCGTACAGGGAGAGCACAGCCTGGATGGCCACATACATGGCGGGTGCGTTGAATGTTTCAAACATGATCTGAGTCATCTTTTCACGGTTCGCCTTGGGATTGAGTGGGGCCTCAGTGAGCAGCACCGGGTGCTCCTCGGGTGCGACACGCAATTCATTGTAGAAAGTGTGATGCCAGATCTTCTCCATGTCATCCCAGTTGGTGATGATGCCATGCTCAATGGGATATTTCAGTGTGAGGATACCTCTCTTGGACTGCGCCTCATCGCCCACATAGGAATCCTTCTGGCCCATGCCCACCATAACACCCTGATGGCGTGGACGACCTACAATCGATGGGAAGACGGCACGGGGCGCATCATCGCCGGCAAAGCCAGCCTTGCACATACCGGAACCATTGTCCACGACCAATGCGGCAACTTCATCATCACACATCCTGGCGACTGATCTGTTTTACTGCAAAAGACGGCAATTACATACACTTAGATGTTGGTCGGTTATTGGAAATTCGAAACGAGACTTCTCGAGACAACAGTGTAAAATAAACTACGAATAAACAATTTGAATGAACTACAAGATTTTTGGGAAACGAATGACGAGTGAATCCTAAACAAATTCGATCTGAAATTCACTCTATTTTGATTGATTTATGTTTTTTTTTTAATGGTGATTTTTACTAACCGTTCTGTTAAGAAGGAAAAACTGTAAACTTGTATAGCAACACTTTCGCTGTAGAACTGCGAGTGGCTGCTGGACTGTAATGAGCTAATATTTATACCATTCGGGCGACCCTCAGTCAAACAGATTTTCCACACAAATACAAAAACAGAGGCACACATACGCGTACACAGCCACTGCCACAGACACAGACACGGACACGGACACAGATACAAAAAGACATATGCAGCACATGGATGCACATTTCGCTAAAGGGGAAATTTTGAATATCTTTAAAAATAATTTGTTTCTTTCATATTTTTTTCCGAGCGAGCAAAACAGCCGTCGCTGAGCATAGGGTAAACAAAAATTGTTCACACACACGCACACAGTCACACATGAGCAATATATGTACACACACAGTCGATCCTCCGTGGAGGCGTCGTAGGCGTTTTTTCGTGTGTGCGTGTGTGAATATATCGTTCTTTTCTTTTTGTTTTGTCTAATTTTTAATCAACATTTGCACGTTGGTCCAATCCATACATGGGGATGCTTGGAGCACACACACTCTCTCTCTCTCTCTCTCGCTCTCTCTGTCTCTGGGCAAAGAGCGCACTCGTAATTAGAAAAAATAAAAGAATTCTTAAGCAAAACAAAAATTTAAGTATCGAAAATATTCTGTGCTACAATTCGTTGGGCGTGAATGTGGGTGGTGGATGATAGAAGGTAGATGGTATGGAAGAGGTTGGAGGGAATGGATGTGGAGGTGGAGGTTTCGGCACCATAAACACAAGTCGAAAATTGTTAATAGATCGCACATTGCATTTATAGATCTTACAAGCTGAAAATTATTGCATTTATAGATCAAACAAGCTGCACATAATCAATTATGTGGAAATGCCTGAGAACTGAGTCAATAATTGGGAAGATTGTTTCAGCTAGTTTTCGCCTTTGCTCAATATCAACTCGAAAGCAATAACAATAAATATTTGTTTGTTGTTTACACAAGAACTTTTGCCTTTATTGTTGTTCTTCTTTTTAAAGAAAATAAAAAAAAGAATAACAACAATAACAACAAATTTCAAATATCGTGCGCTCTCACGTTTTTGCATAAGATTTTTTGACGCTGACGCGCAGATACGAATGGAAATCTATTTATATGAACAGATTTTGAAAATGTTGTATATATATATAGTATATATTTTATTTGGGTATGTGTTTGGCCAGATAATACAGGTGCAAACACTGTGCGGGCCGTTAACGGCTTGCTAATACCCTATGCTGCATGATATTACTCGACCCTACCTCAATTTATTGTAGTTTCAAATCTGTGATTAAATGCTGCTCGTTAGTTGAAAAGGAAATTGACTTATAAGCTATATCAGAAGAGATGTATTTATTTATTTGTGGTATATTTCTTAAAACATTTGATATTGTTTTTAGTGGGGGACATCTTAAGGTTGAGCACAATCGAATCGATGTTATTTTTATTACTTATTTGTTTTATGATTTTATCAGCTGATTTGACCATAATGTTTAATTAGCTATGCATATTTAATAAACTATAATAGTTTAATTGCCTAATTATACAGATACTGAATTTAATAAAAATATTTTTAACGAATTGGAAACTTGTTCTTCCAAGGTCTTCCTAAAGTTTCGTGTTTTGATATTGGTATGTAGTACATGTATATATATATATATATATAAGAGAACTAATTGATCAATATACATTCATTCTAATTCGAAAATAACAGTATAATAGTATTCAATGAACATGGCGAAAAACTCATTCAGTCAAGCGGATCGCTCGACCGTTTGGCTCTATACACAAGCAGCTGATTGAATTGTGTTGGCCAGCAACAACAAAAAGATGCCAATTTGATGATACCACAACAAATGTGTTAGTCTAAAAATATGTTTGTTATAAAAAATTATGAGCATATATTAAGTATATCTAGATATATGTGTATTATATTTGTGTACGGGCGCAGCCGGCGCAGTAGGCCACCACCTTTTAAGGATGCGCCAGCAAAGGAGGTGACGACGACCAAGCACAGTGGGGCAATTTGTTAATCTGTTAATAAAAATAAATAAAAGCTTGCCAACGAATATAAATTATTTGGGATGTGTAAAAATAATCAACAGTTTCTGCTCACAATTCACTTATAGTTTTGATGAAATAAATAACCAAAAACAATTTTAATAATTTAAAAAAAATAATAAATGACAATAAAATAAAATAAACAATACTTTTGAAGTTTCTAAGAAATGCTAACATTATATATAATAAATTGCTAAAATTGTATATAAAAAATTTAAGAGTTCCCCAAGATGATATTAAGCTGTCTATTATAAAATGCATTCCAAGTTTTTTAAATTTATAGCTAATTTGTTTCAGCTATGTGCCCCTTATTTTACGCTTAGAAGCCACTGTGGAACGTCGACAACTTCTGGGATTATGACAAGCAGCCGCAACGGCAACGCTGCCGTGCATTCCACGGCAGAATGCAGTTCTGTATTTTTAAATTGAATAATGTGCCAAGAAAATATGAAATATATATAAGTACATATATGTACTATATATATATATATATATAAATTTGAGAAAGAATTTTTTGCAATTTGTATATTTCAATCCGCAACGTTTTCCCCTGTCAACGCATCCACTTGGCGTGGCTGCGTTATACGCTCAATACAAGCACGCCGCCTACGTCCTGCCGTAAGTCAGTCGGCGGTGCAGGCAGCGCAGTAGCCGGAGGCGCGTGCGCCACCTAACCACCAGGCAGTAGACCAGGCACTCCAGGACAAAGACGCCGCTGGCCAGCAGCAGCAGAAGACTGGCGAAGAGAATGGCGCCGTGAAAGGCGGCAAGTGTCAGCGCCTTGAAGGCATCCTCCTGCACGCGGGCGATCTTCTCCTGTATCATGCGCACCATGTCCAGATCCCGTGCCCACTTCTGCATATGACCCGACTCGATAACGTGCTGTATCACCGCATTGATGTGGTGCAGCAAATGAAACTTCTTGGGCAGCAGCATGGCCACTGGGTACACATACAAGGATTCCCGGCGATCGAAACAGTAGAGCCTATTCCGTTGTATGTGAGCATTGTAGAACGCGTGCTGCCGGGACACAACCACGGCGATGTGCTCGTTGTCGGCAGCGTAATTGAGGCACTCCACAATGTTATAGCAGATCTGGAACTTTTCGCGTATGTACTTGAAGGTCTACAAGAGAGAGAGAGAGAGAGAGAGAGAGAGAGAGAGAGAGAGAGAGAGAGAGAAAAGAGAAATATATATAGTATATCTCTATATATAAAACTGTTTGTCCTGACTCAATGACTGACTCAACCGAACTTTCTCTACCCCTAATAAAATCGTTGCTTTCAGGATACCTTCGGGTCACTGACCATTCCCAGCTATGAGCAGGGGCATAGCTTGCCACCCACCGGGTCGGTGATTTCCCATTACTTCCCCAATACTATCTCTTTATCCTATCTACTTAGCACTCTATATATCTAGCATACAATTCTATTCTTTATCAACAATCTTCTTACTTTCTTTTCTCCTATTTATGGTATTTTCTTAAATAATATAGCAAATTAAGATTATTTTTAATTTTACTTAAGAACACTTTTTCCCTACTTACACCCTTCTTCTTAGATATAGGCTCGAATAGCGTCACTAACAAAATTAGCTGTGAAAAGGGGCACAGCTGGCCGGACTGGAAAATAAAACGCCTCCATCGGTCGGTGATGCTATTAGAAAATTGTGTTCTCTAACTAGGCTTTTAGCATTTAATTTTCATAATTGTATATATAAAGTATTGAACAATTAGGAATACACTCGTTTTGTCGACAATTAATAAATAAATAAATAAATAAATAAATGACTAACACTACGCACACCCCAAACCGAAAAGTGAGAAAGAGATTGAGGTAGAGAGAAGAGAAGATAAGGACAGAGAGAAAGAAAGCAGGGAAGAGATCAGGACTGAACAAAATCATAGCAATTTTACAGAGAGTATCAAGTGCTCCGGTCGAAAAAGCTCGACTAGCAGATACTCTTTACAAACGTGTCCAAAACGTAAACGAATTAAGTTATATTATATATATATACTATATGAGTTTAAATGCCATATTTGGCATCTCTACCCCTTAATATCTTTGAGATACGCACAATAAGCATGTCTTCTATTTTGTTTTTTCGATTTTTTTTGATTTTTTCGATTTTGGAGGAGTTCTGACAATTGTTGATAATTTTAAATAAGCATGCTCTTAAAGTGAACATACAACCTACTACAAAAATGTAGTCTCTAGCTCCTAAAATTCCCGAGATTGAAGCATTTATATAATGGAGCAGACAGACATGGCCATATGTTTATGCTGATCAAGAATATATATGCTTGAAAGGTTTGGAGAAGCCCCCTTTTGTATGTTATATATGAAAAATGCATCGATTAATATTGAAAAGAAGCTCATTTCAATTGATTGATTTTATTGATTATGAAATATTTGTCACTCACCTCGCCTTCCTTGTTCAGATGCCGCACATTTTCGGAGCTGACCATAATGGTCATGCGTTTGCCATAGATCTCTTCCAGTTCGCTTATTTGAGCCTGGGTGGTCGGAGTTGTGAGTGTGCTTATCAAGAAACTCTGATAGGTGTTGCTAAAGAAGAAGGCCAAAATGAAGGCAGTGAAGAAGAGCAATCGCAGCGCCAACGACAAAGTTCGGGTATTCACATTAATAGCCTGGGTTAGCAGTATGCCCAGCATGCGCAGGCAGATGGTCAGATAATTGTGCTGATTGTTGAGCTTAAAAGCGGAAACATGCTGTGCCACCTGCACAGCCAAAGAGCTGACAATGATGAACAGCAGCAGCAAGAGCCAAGCACTGGTATCAAAGCTGGCCAGAAAATTGAATAAACTGTGCTCGCGCTTCGCCTTGGCCACGCACCAGGTGAGCTCATCCTGATGATACGATGTAGAGCTGGACACAAACTGGCTAATGCTGGGATCCTCATCGATGCCGCCGACAATCATTTCGATTTGACTAAGAAAAAGAGTATTTAGATAAAAAATTTTGGGTTTATATGCAGTTAATTTGTTTGAATTGAAGACAGCTTCACTTACCCCTCAATCAGCTGCTGGAACAGATGAAACA